GACAATTTTAAAGATGCGAAGAAAATAAAGAACACAAGAATGTAACTGTTTATCAGTTACACATACATGAATAACACCAAACAATTATAAATGGCAAACGGCAATTGTGTTTTAATATGGCTATTCTTAATCAAAATTAACAATTTCTAAAAATAAGTGTTATATTAAAGTTATGTTTGGCATACTACAAGTTAATTGTTAGCTGAAAAACTAGATGATAATTGAAAAACTAGCTGTTAAATAAAAAGGTAGCTGATAGTTGAAAAGTTAGTTGATAAAAATGATATTTTGTAAAACTAGCTGGAAAATATAAAATTATATAAAAGGGCATTTAAGAGATTGTGTTTCTGTTTTTATAATTAATTAATAAGTATATTTGGAAAATTTTAGTAAAGCTCTTAAAAAGGTAATCTAAATAGCTTTTTAAAAAGCTAGTTTATAAACTACTTTTTGCCTTGACAAATACGACTACATAAAAAAGTTCAAAAAATAAACTAGTTGTAGCGTGCCAAACACAATTTAACTCTAAAGTCTAAACTTTATATTAAAACATCATCCTGAAAAATTAAATGCCAAAAAATTTTGGTTTTTTGGTTGACTGTTTGTGGCAAATCAGGTGTATTGTAAGTGAACCGAAAAGCCATGGATTTAAGTTGGCATTTTAGTTTCAGATATTTTGAATGCCCATATCTCTATCAATATAAACATATGATGAGAAGCGTATCAAAATTTAGATATAAGATTACTCCAATTTACAACCAAAATCAACATAATTATCTATTAAAAAATAATTTATTTCTCTTCCACTATATAACCCAACTTTTTACACTTATATCATCTACATCAGTGTGCAAGAGTACTATATTTCAAATGTATCACATCATCTTTTATAAATACCAATTTATTAATTTATAACTTCAAAATATATTATAATTATTATATATTATATATGCATCTGTGTTGTATAGCATAATACACTTCAAACTGTACATCATAATTCATAAAGTAAAGAATTATCCCACTTATTTATTGTTGCAAGGCTTTCAGTACTTGCAATAACTTAATCAACACTTTTAAAGACCAGATGACATTGCAAAGTAATTGAAAGCATTCGATGTGGGTGCTCTTATTAACAACCCTACTCAAACAGTTTTTGTATTAAATAAATATATTTTAAGATTATTTTTTATTCTACTAATATTTATTAGAAATATTAAAAATAATTTATTTAGTTCGAAATAAATAAATTTTTTATTTTAGATATAAAACTAAATAAAAATATTTTACATTCATCTTACTTTTTATCCAAAAAAATATAAAGATTACCAACTAGTTGGTGGGTTGTTCAATTAAACCAGTTCATTGTTGTAATTGATTTTTTTTTTTTTTGCTTTTTTTTTACTGACTATCCAAAATATCACCGATGGGAGTAGTCTAACATACAAGAAATTTATGAATTTTGTTGAAGCATTATAGAAAGAGTTTTTGAGATTAACCTTACACCAACCTACTTATTAGATCCAAATATCTCAACGAAAGCATTTATATAATCTTCTTTTGTTTGGTTTCTTTTAATCGGATTCATTTCTTTTAACCGGATTCAAGACTAAATATCTACTATTTAAGCTTTCATGTTTTAGATTTCAGTTATTGAAATAACTAATAGAGACTCACGGACACAACATCAACCATATACATTGTAAAAGAGTAGTGTATATACTTATTTTATTTTATAGAACTTGTTTTCGGAAGTAAAATTTTGTGTGTTTTTTAAGTTTATAATTAAATAAAAAATTTTGTTATCTTTTTTTGTTATAAGTAAAAGCTCATTAAATGTTGCTATTAAGAGTATATTTCATAAAATAGAATTCGACTTGGAAATTTTTTACATGCAATTTGTCATATATCAATCATATTCTTTTGGTTTTTTTTTTTTTTTTTTTTTTTTTTTTTTTTTTTTTTTTTTACGTAAGTATAAGATACACCACTTTTAAATGATAATATTTTCTAGAACACCATCGATTTTATTAAGCTAGTAAGGAGCTAGGCAGAACAAACAAATTACATCAAAGAAATAACAAGTTTTGCAACCAACATACACACTTAATGTTGCACCCTTGATATTTTTATTGTTAATCTAGAAGTACCATTGGACAAATTTTATAAATAAAACTTTCTTTTTACAATGATTCCTACCAAACAACAAGAAATCCCTAAACCTAACATACCACCATGTGGTGTAAAAAACTACTTCAAGATGTTTATTGTGTGCCTTCTATAATCTCAGAAAAACCAGGATAACTGATCATCATAAAAAAATAGTAACAAACAATATTACAATGTAACATACATCACGATTTAAAATAATTAACTCCAAGACTTTCAGATTTGCAACATTATAAAGAAGTCATCAAGTATGCAAACTATTATATGATGTTGATTAGATATCTCATCAGCAAAACCTCATTCGTACAATTGTGTTCTTGTTTTCCATTAAATGTCGTAATCTCGAGACCTGCAACGATATTTACCCACATATATCAAAAAGAAATATCACATATTTGAATTATAATTAGTAACAATAACTAGTAGTTGACTTTTCTAACATTGTATCCATTGTACACAAACGGTTGATTATACTTGATAAAAAGTATAAGAAACACTAAACTATGGCTAAGTGTATACTTTTATATAATTTTCTAATGTCTTATTACAATGAAAACTATGGATGAGCATTTGAACCTTCAGATCGGATCGAATCGAACCTGGACCTGATAAGTCTCAACAGATCCCGTCCAACGCCTATCGATTTCTACAAAACCGATATGATCTGGTCCAAACGCTCACCCCTAATGAAAATTAGATATAACTACAACAAATAGACCAACTAAAATACTTATCTATTTAAATTTTATGCATTTCAATAAATATAGAGAATAACCAACAAAATTATCTATGCTAAAACATTTATTCTCCTAGATGTTATGATTATCCACGATATAAAAAATTGGTGTGTGTGTGTGTATATATATATATATATATATATATATATATATATATATATATATATATATATATATATATATATATATATATATGTGAATGAATGATAAAGAATAAATAACATAATAAATGTTAATAAGCTTCAAGATGCCATAAATTGTAGCCAAATATGTATTTTCTTTTAGGTCTAAATGTATAAAATAGTAGCTTAAGTTAAGTTCCGATCGTACTTTAATCTACAAGAAGACATGATTTTTGTTAAATGCTATTTTTTATTACAATGCTTTAGACATCTAGTTGTAACGTAATATGACAATTATAATGCAACCAATGATTCACAACTAGCGAGATCTGTATATTTTGTTACAATGTTTTAACCAATACGTCGCAACTACATTTGACAACTCTTTCAGCTTAGCACTTTACCAACAAATTACACCATATGTTGTACTTGTAGGTCTAAAATACCAGGTTATTCATAACAAAGACACAATCCCCAAGGTGGATCGATGGTTAGACAGACGGCCCCCAATCATCATCTTAGTATGTTATGACATTCGAATAGAGAGATACATGAAGTTAAAGGTCATGGTCTATAATACCACGAATATATTTGAGAATGTGTTTGAGGACATTCATCATGCACATTAAGACAAATTTGTTGGACGACAAAGGAGGTATCAGGGTCAGGGAATGTGAGATACTGAATTGCACCGACCATACTACGATAAAGAGACGGAAAAGAGATTAGGAGATTGTCCCTCATTCAAATTTTGATTATAAAGTTCACCTTTTTCCACTTGGGGTCAATGGGTTTTGTCGTGGGATCATGGAATCTTGATAGGTGACATCAATGTGACCAATAAAATCAAAACCTATGCAATATGTAGATAAAAGTTCTCTACACGCATCATAGTTTAGTGAATCGAGGTACAAGAGAAGAGGGATGTGAGATTTGATTTTCATGACCCCAAAGGATTTGTTGGGTTGTTAAGGATGTTGTTCCACCATGGAAATCATGAACTAAAGGATGAGAGAGACTAGGATCACTTGAGAATTCAATGACAAAGGAAAAGAATTAGACAGACTCAATCAAGATAGAAAGATATGCTATTTAGAAAGAGAGAGGGAGAGACACAATTTTGCATAAATGCCATGTTGAATGGTATGTTCATTTATTCCAAACATACAATGTACATGAACTACATACAACCTACAACAATGTCATGGGCCTAGGTACGGGTTAAGTTATCAACAAGCTAATGGGGGTAAAGCTTATGTACGTACATACTAACATAGCTAGTATTTATGCACATTAGCTTAGCCCACAACCTTATTGTAGTTTGTATATATTTTTCATATAAGCACTATTATTTGAATCCATAAGGAATATACCATATAACATAAATTAACCCTAATCATTTAACCCTTTAGTTTCTCATAAAATTTTAATCTTGCAATTGCATCCTAAAGGCATTTGTATAAACTTATACGTCTCAACCATTTACCCATGGGCCAAAAATCAATAAATAAACTTCAACAATAACAACACTCGAATCTCATAATAAAATGATGTAAAAGCCTAAAAGGGTTTTAAAAATTAATTTAGGGTGTCCCAATTTCAGGGTTATGGAGAGAAGGCTCGCCTTTGACAATGATGCTAATTATCCTCTTTCACCTCCCATGATTCAAACTTGGGTCAATGGGTCAATAAGCCCACATCTTACACAAGCCTTCTACCAAGTGAGCCATGATTAGATGTTTTATATACAAAATCAAAGCATGACATACAAAAATGACATTTATTTGCAAATTAGACCCACATGATTACACCCTCGTAGCATAAGAACAAACCGGTGCACGTTAGCAAACAACACCGCATGGACCGGTGCACGTTAGCAAACAACACCGCATGGACCGGTGCACGTTAGCAAACAACACCACCATTGTTACCAACAAGCAAGCTACCCATAATCACTACTAATTACCATATACACCTACCCAATAACTCCATAGATGACCCTACAAACACCCATAATATAGCAAACAATACTCCAAGAACAGAAAAAAATACAATACCCCTACCCCTACTACTCGGTTTCTCTAACCTTTTCAACCCCGACCCACTAGCGGCAGCAGCTGCTAAATTTACGTTTCTACCCCTGCTAAAGCTAGACATTCTTTCAAATGCCTTGTTTACAAGAGCACTCCCTTCTGAAGCAGAAGCTGGAGTTGTTGGTATCGAATCCACAAACGACCATAAAGCTGTTGAGAACCATGAACCCGTTCCATTGCCATTATCCACATCATTTTCAGGACATTGATTTGTGTAAAATTCAGGATTTTCTTCCATTATTACACCTAGAAAAAACATGCAAAAAAAGAAAAAAGAAAAAAGAATTGTGTAATCAGCTAACGATTACATGTTATATATATTTATATGTATAATATGCCGGAAGAGAAGCTCTTAAAAAGCTTGGTCTTGAACTCCCCGAGTAAAGCTCAGAGTGCTCATGCCATTGCCATCTGGTCATGAGCTCTTAAAATGTTAGCAATAGCATATCATCCATAAATGCAACAAGGGTAAAAGGGTCATTTACTCATATACTTAAACATTCATTCAATCTAAAAACAGAAACAGAAACAGTCTCGCTTACTCTATGGGAGTTGTTTTCTTTGGACTTGATGTGAAAAGAAGATAAAAAGTGTGGGAAAAGATCTTTTCCCATTAAAGTTCCAACTTTTTTACAAAATTTTAATTGGAGGAATAAAAATAAAAAAGGGCATCAGTACCTGATGAATGATGAGAAATAGCTTGTTGAGTTGTTTGAGTAGTAGTTGTGATGCTGCTATCTCCATGATTGTTGTTGTAATCCCATAAATCACAACTTATTTGAAACTCATCATTACCATGACTCAAAACTTCACTCCCAAGACCCGAGTTTTCAGGTCCATATTCCACAAACCCTGAAATCGAGTCATGGTAGAAATCAAATTCCACCAAAGACCCGAACTCCGGAATGGAATTGGCAATTCCGGGTTGCGGGCCAACCAAATCATCCAATTCAAGAAAATCTTTCAAATCACTACAACTCTCCATGAAACAATTCCCAGCCTCTTTCACTTCCGGGACTTGAGGAGGAATCTCGGGTTCATCGATAATCTTGTTTAAAAACTCAACAATATCATTTGTAAACACATTCTCCTCTTCTTCTTCTCGAACAACTTTCACATCATCCACCGGAATCGGAATCGGATTCCGTTTCTGTACCAAAAAAGCATCAAGATCCACACAATCTTCGTCATCGCTCCATTCCTCCTCAACAAACGGAGCCCCGTATTGCTCCCCGTTTTTGGGACCGGGCCCGCTTTTTTTAAAGATTTTGTAGAGGACATAGTGTTCTTGGGTAAACGGGCATCTTTTGAGCTCCTCTTCATCCATGGTGTATTCATGCATGACCCAATCGGTTCGTCTGCCCGAAGGTGCCCGACCTTGGTAATAAACAAGGGTTTTCTTGATTCCAACTGGAAATGACTTTCTTTTGATGATTCTGTCTTTTCCTGTTGCTTTCCAATAACCATTCATTGTTGCTCTGCTTGATCTTCCACCATTTGGATACTTTCTATCTCGTGGGCTGAAAAAGAACCATTGTCGATCACCTGATTTTAGTTTGGATTGACCTGAATTTGAGAAGAGATTAGTTAGTATCAATTGTTGAAAGATTTAAAGATTTAAAGATTCTTTCACATGATCACTTTCAAAACAACAATACAACCAAAAATTCCTCTAATCAAACAATAGCATACAACTAAAGAATTAAAAGAAGAATATACAGCAAGATTCTACATGACAAGATCAAGATAAGTAATAAATAATCATGTAATTCATTCAAGAAACAAGATCCAAATGACCAGACTATACAGAATCAACCCCATGATCATCAAATAATCGAAGCACTTGAAGATGTGATAAACCTAATGATTCAACAATCAAAAGAAATCAAAATAAACAAACCCTAACGACGAAATAATCACAGAATCAAAACACTTCATGAAATAAGATCATATACTTAATATTCAACAAAAAAACGAACCCATATCAGTAAACAAATCCGAATACAGTTAATGATATCATGGATAGTAAAACAGAGTACAATTAGGCGAAGGAATGTATACATACCAGGTAACTCTTCTGGGTCCCACTTGTAAACATCAACTTCGCCGATGATGTCGAGCTTGAGCGATCGACCACAGATCTTCCTCTTCAGGTAATAAAGAACCAATTCTTCATCAGTCGGATGAAATCTGAAACCAGGTGGGAAGCACTTTCCGGCAGAGGGGGACGACTTTGACTTTGAAACCGTCACTGCTTCAATCAAGTCAGAACCCATCAAATTGGGGCAGAAAACACCAGTTTTTCGATCGATTGAAGGTATGTTGGTGATTGATTGAATCTGGTTTAGGATTAATTGAAGTGGGTTTTGATCCGAGAGTGTTTTTGAGAGATTTAAGAGAGGCGTGTAGGAGAAGATTTGTAACCCCAAAGGGGATGACTTTGGGGGTTTTCTCTTGGGTCCAAGCGTTTACTGGTCTTTATTTGGTGAGTGAACAAAAAAGGAAATATCCTGGAAACTCGCTTAAGTTTGGTTAAATTCATTTAGACTACCTAAAGTATTATGAATGACACATTGACCCTCCAACTCTTTGATTCAAGGGTGTTTAGGAAATCTTATCTAACTCAATAATAAATTTTTGACAAAAGGTTTTATCAATTATATGATGAATAAAAATAAATTAAAAAGTATCTTGATTAGCTTATGTAATAGCAAAAAAATATTAGTTTATAATTCTATTTTTTTAAATACATTTAGATTAATTATATATATGTGTGTGTGTGAAATGAGTAAATTACCAAAAATGTAGATGGTTTGTGAGTATTATTATTTTGAAAGATAACTTTTTGATGGTAGTATAAAACAATTTTACTAGTGTTTATTAATTTTTCAAATATATTTTATAGAGATGTTGACTTAAAAAAAATAATAAATAAATAAATAAAAACACGCACACACAATGACATTTTTCGAACTCTATCTCACGGAGGCAATTATAACTTATTAAAGTGACATTTATTGGTTTAAATTAAATTTTATTGATGAAAGGATCGAACTAGATAATTAGTCAAAAAAAAAAAAAAAAAAAAAAAAGTTTAAACCATTTCTTAAATCATTGTATACATATATTTAAGTGTTCACACTTTAAAATATATCTTTCACATATTTGTATATTTGTATGGCTTCTTTGCATATCATACAGAAATTCAGTTGTTCTTATATTCAAATATGTTGTACCCACGTGTTGGATCGATGTATCCAACTGGTATATTGCAAAGTTTACGGGTGTTTGACCTTATATTTATTTATTTATCATATTTATTGAGGGATAACTTTGAATAATCTACAAGGTTTTATTGGATGAACTTAATCATTTTCGAAACATCCTAGAAGTTGTTTTCAATCAGTGTGCTTCTAATTCCGTTCACATTACCGGAACTTTGATAAAATGACATATTCACTCCTTAAGATTTAAGTTTGTTAGACGAGACGGGATGGTATGGGCTTCAACGAGCAACGACGTGGCTGAGGTGGCATACGAAAACGCGGTCATAACGGGGCGAACACCGCCCCATCCTCCCCCCTACTTGTTGCATCTCGTCGAGCAATTTTTCGTAGCCGTTACAACGTCTTAAAACGGGAAGAAAAAGAGATGTTGGGCTTATCACCGTTTGCAACGGTCAATATTTAAATTAAAATAAAATAAAAATTGCCTTTTTACATATATATATATATATATATATATATATATATATATATATATATATATATATATATATATATATATATATATAACCCAACTTTTATATATTTCTATCATTATCTTTATATTTTATACATTTTCTTTAATCAAAAAATGGATCAAAACTCAAATAGCCCTCCTCCATCATCAAACCAAAACACACAACCTCACCTCTCGGATTTAAGGGTTGTGAAAATTATGTCAACCTTTTATCGTCTCAATGATCACCACAAATCACATACAAAGGCGTTGCTTTCAATCTCGCTTCACCACCATTACAATTTCTCAACTCACCTTATCTTCAACAAAATCTATTTGGTCAAAACCTAAATTTACAACAAATCTTTTCCCTACTTTTGTTTCGATGAAACAAACAACCAACCAACCATCGCCTATAACACAATAATCGATTGAAGTGGAAGCTGGAGGTAGTAGGAGAGGGAAAGGGAAAAGAAAATTGAAAGGGAAATCGATAGTTGTTGAAACAGAAAATGCAGACGTTCCACAATGGTAGACACCGGATGAGAAATATGCTTTGACGGTGGCTTGGTGGATTACTTCAAAAGATGAACTCTGCGGAAATGGAATGCAGAAAGGAGCTTATTGGGGGCGGTGCGCGACAAGTTTCACGCTATTTTGAAGAAAAATTTGTATCGCAACAATGACATGTTGAGTAGAAAATGGGGTCAAATAACTAAGCGGTGCAGCAAAGTCAACGGTATTTACAACCAGCTTGAGGCGTAACAAGAAAAACGAAACCAACAACTTCGATTTGTTCACATCTGCTAAGGAACAATATCGGGTTGTAATGGGTCATGTTTTCGACTTTGAAAAATCATGGAAATTGTTGCGAGCGGATCCAAAGTGGAATAAAACGCCTACATCTTCGGAGGTTCAATCCAAAAGGTCTTGCAATTCTAGCTCGGTCAACGTGTCGGACGCACGGACTCACATCGACCTAAACGCTGAAGACGATGAGATCCCGGATGATATCCAAGAGATATCCCTACCACGACAACCGCCCGGACGCAACAAAGCGAGGCGCGTTGCAAGACATGCAGAGGAGGTGGAGGCGAAAGCAAAAGAGTCAGTGGAAATGAGAGTGAAATTCGACGAACACAATTTATTAATAAAATAAAAAAAATAACTTGAAAGGTCGTCATTTGGAGTTCCTAGAAAGGCAGGCACAGGAGAAGCTGGAGCAAAAGGAGAGGGAACTAATGACACATCAGTTGTCAATTCTTCGAACGAGTAAGAAAGGTTGGCACTTGCTGATCTAGCGGTGCTACAAGCGATGAATGAACAAATCAGGAAGAAATATATGGGTTAATTAGGATTGGTGTGTGGTTTTAGGAGTAATTTGAATGGTATTTTAGTTATGATTTTAGGTTTAATGTTATGTTTCTTTAAATTGTAATTGTAATTTTAGATTTTAAATATTATGTCTTTTTTTTTAATTTTATGTTTTATAAAAAATATATTCATGTTAGTGATTAAAAAACGCAAAAAGAAAAAAAAAACAAATTTGAAAAAAAAAACATATTTATTTTAAAAAACTTGGTGTTGCATCTTGTTGTTCATTTCTCTACTTGATGTTATAACACCATTTGCTTATGTGACATGTGAGGTGACATAACTTGACGTTGCATCTTGTTGCCCATACCCAATGATCTTAGTCAAAGAACGTTATTAACATTCTAACAGGATAGTACTTGCTTGGGGTTTAAAATTTTTGTCTATTTATTTTCTTCTTCTTCTTTCATTTTTCCATTTTCTCTTTCTACAAAGAATTCTTGGTTTACGATATCGTGGAAGAAGACTAATAAAATAAATATATTCAGCCTTTAATCTCTAACATACATGCACTACATTTTTTGAAAGGACATACTTGACATTTTACTTGCACAATGATATGCAATAACTAGTGTTATACCCGTCTTGTGATCGATGGACAATGTAATAAAAAAATATTGGTTCTACTTCCTTCTATATCATCATTCTGAAATTTGTTCTCATATGATAAAAGTTATTTCCCAATAACTATTAACCATAAAATATAGAATCTGGCTAGATATTTATGCGGTGGGAGGTAGCTCTACGGAATACATAATACTTTTTTTAGATAAACAAATTCAATCCACTATAATATTATATGTGAAAGAACCTTAAGATGAATTCATAGAAGAAAAAAAAACATAATACTAAAAATATATATACAAGGTCCAAAAAAATATCTTAAAAACATGTGTAGTATAGCATCCAAAACAATGATTCTATTTATGTTTAAAAAGATAAGTACAATGGTATTGTTTGTTTATGAAAAGAGTACGCTGCCACTATTGGCTATAAAAATATATAAGTAATCTTTTGTGCATGGACCAATTATGTAATCTTTTTTCTACACATTATCCAATTATGTAATTTTTTTTGTATAGAAACGAATTAAGTAAACAACATAAGTACAATGTTATTACATGTAAAAAAAATAACTTCTTGTTATACATTGCAAATTTCTAAGTATGTTCATTTTCTGAATAAAAACCAACTTATAATCTTTTTTTTTTTTTTTTGAACTGTCATCTATGGTTCCTTTCCTATATAAAAAATTAACCAATCCTACCTACTGCAAATTTCCACTTGTATTCATTTCTAAATATAACAATAGTAGTGATCATTAAAAGAAAGCGCCACAAAATGAAAGAATAAACACAGGTAAAACAATAATAAACCCTTACCTAATAAAAGTAAAACATGGCACCCTCTAGATGTAACGCATAGTTCCTGGTATGTATTTAAATAATAATTTATTCATTTTGTAGAGCAACTCGATGAATTGGGAGCCCTAAACTTGTCGAGTAGAGATCAGAAGGGACCTAGGTTTTAAGCAACCTACTCGATAAGTCGAGAGCCCTCAACTCGACTAGTAGGCTGGCAGGGGTGAAACCCTAATTTCGGGGTTTTGCACCCTATAAAAGCATCTTAATCCCCTCATGCTAGCCTCATTCCCAGCCTCCAGGTCCCAAACCCTAAGTCTTGAAACCCTAATGCATTTTGTGAGCGTGTGAGCCATTTTTGAGAGAAATCTTGTGTGTTTGAAGCTTGTGGAAGAAGGAGAGGCTTGAAGACTCAAGGATATGATTATAGATCCAACAACTTCATCCCATCCTCATCATTTTCTAGTAAGCAAGTCTCAAACTTGCTTAATAATCTCTTAGATCTCTTCATTATCTCTTTTATTGGGTTTTGGTCCAAGAAGCATGGTCTTTGGGAAATGGACGTCCCAAGTGAGTATACTTCTAGATCTAGGACTTTGAAGGGCTTTCATGGCATAAAGGTGCAAACTTTATGGCCATTGAAGCCCCATGCAAGCTTTAGGATGTCATTTTGGCCTTTTAAGCTCCAAAAGGTCATGCATGGAGAGAAAGGCAAAGACTTTACGTGTTCATGTAGTGTCTAGGGTTTAGATCTCAATTTGTATGCCTTAGCTTGAAGAACTAATGGCCTTTGGATCAAGATATAGATCTTAAAGAGTTAGGATTTGAGCTAAATCCATTAAGGAAGAGTATTACCGGGTAAAGGTGGAAACTTTACCCTTAAAATGACATTTTTCAGTATGCATATGAAGTATGGAGCTTAGATCTGAAGGATAAAAGCTTAATCTATTAAAAAAGGCTTAACAGACTGAAGAACTCGACGATTTCATAGAGGAACTCGATGAGTTGGGTCGATTTTTCCCGATCTCAAAAA